ACCTGTGAGTGTGAGAGGTGGGTTGGCTTCAGCAGCCACCCCCTGGGTCTTGCGTGTGCTGAGAAAATCGTGCTTCTGCATTTCTGTCCTGTTTTAATTCATGGAAACCCTGTAAAGCACCTGTGGTCGGTGCAGAGGGATACCTAAGCCCGTAAAGAAGCAGGTACAAACCCTCTCTCCATCATCTCTCCTGCTTGCCTTGCTCAGTGTACCCTGGACTCTTGGATCCAGGAGCATCGAGGGGTTGACCAGGGATGAATTAAAGCATCTGTCTCTGTCAACACCCCAGGGCAAGGGCTTGTCCTTCCCTTGCTGCCAAAGGACTGACGCCGTCTGAATGATTTGTGCAGAGGATCGAGGTCTCCAAGTCGTCCCTTTTTAAAATAAAGCCCCGGCACAATTTGGCAGTAAGTGGCACGGCACCGTTTCTCCTCTGGTACACATTATTTATCGCAGAGACTCTGCAAACGCTGCCCCAGAGCCCTGCAGGGATTAAAACAGTGAAATATCCAGTGCAGGGAAGCTTGGTTGGGTGGATATTTTGTCCCAGGGAAAGGTACCAAGCTCAAGGAAATCCTTTAGACCTGTGTGAAACACTGTCAAAGGAGGGATGGACTGCTTGGGATGGAGCTGCCCATCCCAAGTGCCCATCCTTCCCCACCTGGCGCGCTGCCACGTGCAGTTTTGGAGCTTGGTGCCTTATTTCTGCCAAACAAGGCATCTCACATCTTCCATATTTCTGGTTTTTTTTTGGCAAGGAGCCCCCATTTGGTGGTGCGTTCCTCCCCATTCCCCTTCCAGAAGGAAAAGCATGCAAAAATCTTAACAGAGAGTGATCACGGATGCTTATAGCCCTGCTGTGCCTTGGTGCAAACACCACCAACGGAGTTACACCAGAATTACTGGTAGAAAATGTAAACAACCAGAATTACTGGTGGAAAATGTCAACAGAGTGCTTCATGATGGGAGAAACCAGCTAAAAGTCAAACCACAGGCGTGTTCAGCTCGTTTACAGCCCATGTAAACCCCGGCGTGAGGCTGGGTGGAGGCTCACCCATCACCAGGAGGGCTTGGCCAAGGTCTTGGAGCTGCTGGTGGCTTCGAAGTCTCACCTGGAAATGCTTTGGGTTGTCTGCGCTGGGAATACCGAGCAGCTCGGGAGGAAAACCCTGGTGTCGCTGAGGGGAGATGAGGTTTGCTGGGGTTTGGCAGCCCTGTGAACTCTGCTGGTTTCATGACCTGGCTGTGGCCTCGCAGGAAAGTCTCTGCTGAGTCACTCGGGTCATTAAACACGGTCTGTGCTTCTGGAGGATGGCTTTCACACGGGGCAGGTTTCTGTGTTTGCAAAGCTACACCCAGAGGATGAATAACCAGAATAGGTGTGGGCTAGAAATCACTTCTTTAAATAGCTTCAACTCGCGATAACCTCCTCCGTCGTCATCGCCCCGGTTAGTGATTCATTTGGACTGTGGTGGGATCAAGCCCTGCTCTTGGATCAAGGTCTTGTAAAAATGACGCAGCCACAAACCATGGGGCAGTTCCTAGCCCCGGGATGGTGTGGGAGGTGTCCCTGCTGAAATATAACTAAGAGGTTTTGATTTGAGATACCCACGGCGGAGGTAATTTTCCTTTGCAGCTTTGGGTTTGCTCTTTTTCCATCTCTTGGCTCTTAAGATAATTAAAATAAAAAACTACGTGATTTAGGTTTCTAAATCGTGTTTTAGAGGATGGGCTTTCAGTGAGAGCCTACAGCTGGGATTCAGGCAGGACAGGGTTGGGCAGACAACATGTGCCCAACAAGAATTATGTCCCTTGGAGGCAGAAACGGTGCCGCTGAGCTCATGGCCACACCAGCTCGTCCCAGGATTTCACAACAGCTTTGGAACAAGTGGGCCTTTTTGGATCATTTTTCCCCAAATCTTGGGTTTTCTCACAGTAAAGTTCTCTTGAATTGCTTCCTCCCTCCCACCAGCGTGTCCTCCACGGACAAAAAATGTTCTGGGACTTGAAACCAACAGGGACCCAGAGGGATCTTGGCAGGGATGGGATCAGAGGATGCTGCACTTGTTTCAATCTCCTTCCCATCACCGAGCTCCATCTCTATCTGCTCCCAGGAGGGGCAGCACGCTCACAGCGCATCGCATCGCTCTGCATCTCCCTGCTTCAACAGAGATCTCCTTGCTGCCTTTGTACTTTGGATCCTGAGAAAAAACAAACACCGGGGAGCCCCACCAGGCTGTTAAGCCTGCAAACTGACCTTTAGCTCCCGTTTGAAACCCTTTCTGTTGCCAGAACAGAAGGCTCGGAGCAGAGGTGCACAGGCAGAGTCGTGGGGCTGGCGGGGCGCATGGTGTTCTGGTGCCTCCCTTGGCAAGCACGTCCCTGTTTGCTGCAGGTGCTCCCCTCGTGTGGGGTGGGGGCTGATAACAAATACGTACAGGTTGGGACACTCCCAGGGGATTAGGGATGTCTGACTGAAGCGGTAAAAACCGCCCCAGAACAATTTTATGGGGTGTAAATATTGCCAGCCAAGCCTACCCTGCGGTGCGCCTGAAGCTGAACCATTGAGAAAATGATAATCCCTACGAAAACACAGGCTCGTGGGGCTCTAAAGTCAACCCATTCCCTTTCCTGGTGCCAGTCTTGTTAAAATCAGTCACTGCCCTCTTGCAAAATCACATCCCAGGACGGGTACCCAAAGGGAACCAAAAGGACCTCGGTGTCAGCTGCCTGCTGTGCCGGGATGGCTGCGGGAGCGACACTCGTGGCACAAGGTCCCTTTGGTTCCCCATCACCCGGGAGGGGAAAGCACAGCCACACTAATAGATTATCCTGCTGATTTTGCAGGTCTGAGTGAAAGCATTGTTCCCGACACAGCCAGCCTCCCTCACCCCGGCCCTGCAATGCAATTAGGCTGCTCCTTGCAAAATCTCGTTAGCAGAAACCCATCCTGGCGCGCAGCAGATGTTGCATCTCACGTGGTTGTCATCCCCTCCTCCCATTTTTTTTTTTTTTTTCCCTCCCTGCAGCTGGCTTGACATGCTCCAGACCCCCAGTGAGCCTAAAGCTCAGAAATCTGCAGCAGGAAGCATTTATGATAAGACAGTCGCCAATTATAAAACCAATTAGAGGGCAATTTGCTCACTGCCGCCCTTTTTGTGGGGTTGGGCTAGCTGGAGACAGGAATTACATTTTCTGGTTTAATTGCAGCCAGAAAGAAAACGCCTGTTTTGGGGGAAATAGCACTAAAAGGGAGAGCAGAGGAAAAAACCACATGCTTTTTGGTGGGAGGCAACATTACACCACCAAATGCAAGATAAGTGCAATGATCTGGATTTTTTTCTCCCCCCCTAATGGATTTCAGTCCCCAGGGTGCGCGTGGGGGTGTGCTGCCCTGTTTTTTTTCAGGGTCCCCATGCTGGGAGGGTGACTTGACACCGTGTTTGCTTTTGGGAGAAGCCCCAGCCTGTGTAAATGTTATTCTTCACCTGTTTTCTGCCTCCTGCGAGGAAGGGAGGAGATGAAAGCGAGGTGGTGACCTTCTGTGGCCACAGCATCCCTGCCCCTCTCCTCCCTGTGCACACACAAACGCCAGGCCCTGTAATTCCACCTATCTGTAGGACAAGCCCTTTATCTCTTTCCACTCCATTGGCAGGAACAGGGAAGCAAAGTTCAATGCCTGCCCTGTTTTTTGTTTTTTTTTTGTTTTTTTTTTGACCCAGTTCCTGCTGGTCCCCATGAGTCAAGGGCTACATGGGCACGACCAACCAGGGCCGTGTGTTGTGAGTGGGACCTCAGCAGCTTCTCTGGGGACCGAAAAACCCAGGTGAATTAATGCTGGGAAGCTCCGGTTTGAGGGATTTGGGAAACCTCAGGAGGTTTTTCAGGGAGGCTGACCCGTGGATGAGTCTTTTCATTTGCCATCTCTTGCCTGGCGATGGGGAAATCACCGCTAGCTGGCAGCTCTGCTCCTGAGGGAGAGCATCCAACACCCTCTACCCCCTTCTCACGTCTGCCAAGCAGCCTCTTTTCCCCCAATTTCGTGTTCTCCCCACCCACACAACACCAAACGACCCCCTTTTTGTACACCACGGATTCACCCAAGGGTGGGGAGAGCAGCCATGGTCCTCAGCCGTGGTGCCTCTGCCCCCTGAGGACCACTGAGAGCTGATCCCAGACACCCCCACCACCATCAGGCAGGGCAGAGGCATTTCCTGCTGCTTCCTCGGTGGTATAATACAAGATAACTCCTCTTAATCCTGATATTAAACACCAGCACTCCTCTCCCACCTCTCTCTGCATTCAGGGATGCTGAAAAACGGAACACAAGTGCCTCTTGGTTATTGCCTCCCTCTAGTGCTTATCCCAACCTCCTGCAACTCTGCAGCCTGGAGGGAACCAGCCCTTGGGCGTGATCCTGCCCAGTTTGTGTCCAGAGTTATTTTTCATAGATTTTATCTTAAAAAATAGAGTTATTTTTTAAGGTGTGCAGTGCTGGCTGGGGCCCATGGCTGAGCCCACCGTCTGTGTTGAGCTTTTTTTGGGTGAACTGCTTGGGTCAGGCATTGTAATTCTTCCTCTAAGTGCATGGCTCTTCCCTAGTCCTGCTGGAGTTCATTTTTGGGTGGATCCCCAAGCCCCAATGTTTGAAACCGTGGCTGTGGGTGATGCTCTCAGCTCCCGGTGCCTTCCACCAGAAAGTCCCCGGAGCAAAGTGAGAGGGGAAGAAGCTCAGACATCGGCCGCTGAAGGGTTTGCAGGAACAACAAGCGGCCTTACAGGAGGAGATGGGTCACTAGGGCTGCAATGATGTGAAAAAGTACAATTTTCTGGATAATTATAGCAGAAATGTGCTGATGCTGGAGCAGAACAACCACCCCAGGGAGGGGATCTGGTGCTGCGCCCGTGTCCTGCGGAAAGCACGAGGTCCTCTGCCAGGCATCCTTGCTCCATATTACCCCATTTCCTCATTTCCCCCATGTTTTTCTCCTTTCCTGCAGGAAATCTGCGACGATCCCCGTCTCTTCGTGGATGGGATCAGCTCCCATGACTTACACCAGGGCCAGGTTGGGAACTGCTGGTTCGTGGCCGCCTGCTCCTCCCTGGCGTCCCGCGAGTCTCTGTGGCAGAAGGTAAGAGGTGCCCCACGCCGGGGGAAAGCTGGTCTGAAACACCCTCGTGTTGTGTTTGCCCGGCTTAAAAACTGCATTTTCAGGAACTCCTCAGGCCCTGAAAAGCCATTCAGGTGAAAAAATTATCCAAAAAGAGTATTTTTCAAGGGGGAATTCAGTGGTCATGACCGCAGCCACGTCACACTTGAGCCAAACGCGTGGCCGGTTTATCCATCACTAAGAGAGAATCGAGCCCCATCCTGCCCTTCCAGATCCTAAATCTGACCCTCTCCGCTCCAGAATAACCTAAAAATAAATAAATACATAAATCAGGAGGTGCACAGGCTTGGCCAGCCTGTGCTCATTTCCACCACGTCTTCTGTGGCAGAAGTAAATCCTATGAAAGGGAAATCAAACATAGCCCTCAGCCCCTGGTACAGGTGAGTCTCATCCTAGCACAAGAGACCAGCAAGTTGCAAGCCCCTTTTTCTAGATTTTACAGGAAAAAAAAGCCCTATAGGGTTTGCAGGGTCACCTACAACCTCCTACTGCAACAGACCCAAAGGTTTTGCCTCCACCTCGTGCATCAGCTCTGCTGCTGCAGGTGGCTTTTGTGAGCTCCGCCTTGGGAATTTGTTGCAGAATCCCTGTTTTCTGTTAAAACCAAGTCTTTCCTGTACGTGGGAAGAGGATGGTGTGAGGCCTTGTTTGGGTTGTTCCTCCCCAGGGCAGGCTGGCCTCCCTGCTCACCATTCACCTCCAGCCCTGGAGGTGCCAACCAAACAGGAGCCAGGTCCCTTCGGACGCCTCATTATTTCAGTTTGCCGGCAGCACTGCTCTTCCTCCCTTGGCAATTTTGCTGTGGGTGTTTGTGACTTCTCATTTTCCATGCCCTTAACCCTCAGAGGCTCTTCTTTACCTGCCGCCTTGCATCCCGCTCTCTTTCAGAAAGGTTTGTTTTCCAGCAAAAACAAAACTGCCATCCTCTCCCCGAGCCCAGGGTTGTTCACTTTGCTGTGGCCTTCACTACAGGGCTCTGGTTTTGGTTACTTCTGAATTAGTTAGGGCCCTCACTCACCCTTTGCAAGGTGCTTTAAGAGCTCATGATGAGCATTGCCCTGCAAGGAGCGAGTGTGGCTAGAAACTGCAGGAGCAGCAACTTTTAGAGCACAACGGGAGAAGTCAAGTGCACAGATTAAACCCTTTAGCCAAACGCTAAATTCTCCAGCTGTCATTAGACACCAAAATATTTCTGGTTCGGAGTTCAAGGGGAGTTGAAAGATGCTGATGTAGGTGTTAATATCACTGAAAAATCAGTGCAGGTCTCCCACTGCTCCTAGAAAATGTAATCCTGATTTACACCAGGACGTAACTTGCTCCGTGTGTCCCTTGCTTCACTGCACGCAGTGAAACTCTTCCTCCCAACGTGAGCAAGTGCAGGGAGGGAGGATTTCTTCCAGGGAACAGGACAAGCCAACACATCCCGATGATTACCAAGAGATGATTTTATTCACCCACGTCACTCCAATTCTCCCTCCGTGTCCCTCCTCCCCATCAAGCCCATGCTGTTTGAGTCACTGGGTGGGACTTAGGGGCTGGAAGTGAATTGCGAGCAGTTTTCTAATTTCCTGAGCCTTGGCTGCCTCTACATGGTTTTGGACATCATCCATGGTCTTTCAGAGACATCTAGCTCTTCTGAAAATAAATCAAAGCAGAGGGATAGGAACCAGACGAAGCGATTTGGACACCCTACATCTCCACCAGCTTGCCTGCTCTCCTGCTCCTTTCCCATATATTTCCAGGGCAGTTTTGGATCTGGGGGTAAAAGATGCAACAAACCGAGGACCACGAGGCACTGCCATACGCACCTCAGCTCAGAAAGGCCTCCAGGGTTACCTGAAGGCATTTTTAACTTGTAAAACCCAAGGGTTGGTTCGAAAGCTGGTGCTGAAGGTGTTTTACAGCTCGTAAACAAGTGAGGCAAAAGCTCAGAGGGCAGCAAGAAGGGGCTGGTTTCCTCAGACCTCTCTTTTGCCCCTTCAAATAGTAATCCTTAGCTTCCTTGCCTCAGTTCTCAGGGTCTTAAGGAGTGATAGGGGACTGGTGAGTACAAGACAAATCCCAGGAAAATGTCCCACCTTGGGCTCTTGGTGCCTGGGGTTTGTCTGGCCAAGGGCAACTTCTGATGGTCTTTTTGGGGAACTTCTTCTGGAAGTTGAATTATGTGACATAGCCCAAGTGGTGGCAGTGCCTTTCGTAAAAATAGTTTAGAAAAGCTCTTTCCTGGAGTTCATTTAACACAGCTTGAGCTCCCAAAGGGCCCTGCAAACACATCCCGTGATCCCGTGGCAGAAGCCAACTCAAGTCACAAATAGGATGGGAAGAACCAAAGGATGCGGCACCATAAATTGTTCCCTCTGAAGCTTTGTGCTGAAACCCTGGACTCTCTGAGAATCTAAACCAGTGATTTTACCCCAAAGATACCACCTCACGCTTGCAGTCTCTTTGGGATCCACAGCTTCTTGGAGACACCCTGCAACGAGAAACACGTTCCCCAGAACCCCTCTTCATCCCATCCTCTGCCTGGAGGACCCACCAGCAGAGACAGATCCGAGCGCAATCATAGGGCACACCTCAAGAGCACGAGCTATAGCACGGGAAATAGAAATATTTATTATTTTCCCTTTATGAGAAATAAAGGGGAAAAGGAAATATCTCCAGCATCTCACGGTCTGACGCTGATTTAACCATCAAGTCTTGCTTTGAGCAGAGGGTTGGACCAGACCCCTCCAGAGGCTCTACACCCTGGATTATCCCATAAATCAGTCTTCTGAAAGAAAGCCACAGCCACCGAGCCCTGCAGGATGGTTGCCCTGGCTGTGCACCTTCGTTTAGGGCTAACGAGCCCTGCTCCAGCTTGCTGGAGCGGTTGTCAGGGAGGTTGCCAGGGAGGCTGACATCAGACGTCCCTTCCCTATAGATTATCGCGCACAGCGGCACCATCGGTTCCTGCTGGAAGATGGGAGGGCACCCAGAGGAAGCCCCCGAGGGCATTTTGCGTCACCAGCCTGGGTTGCCTAGCACCGCTGGGACCGTGGAGAAGGGCCACCAGATTTTTTTTCCCCCCTGCGTGTCCTATCTGGGAGCCAAACGGTGCCGGGGACGGAGCAGAGGAGCCACGGAGGAGATGGCAGAAGAAGCCGGAGAGCTCAAGGTGCCCTTCGTCCACGATGACCAGCTCACCCGCTGCATGCGACTGAGGGTCCAGAGCCTGCAGCAGAAAAAAGGCAGGCCCCAGGACGGCGAGAAGCTGCTGCAGCCCAACGAGCACGTCTACCGGGTGGATTTCCTCCGGCAGCACAACCTGCGCTTCCTCCGCTGGGACATCCAGCTGGAGAAATGTGGGAAGGTGACGGTGACCGGCACCTCCCAGCACTGGACTCCCGATCTCACCCACCTCATGAACCGGCAGCTGCTGGAGCCCGTGGGCATCTTCTGGAAGAAGCCAGGGGCCGAGGAAGTGGAGTGCAACGAGGCCGATGCCCAGGAGTTTGGGGAGCGGCTGGTGGAGTTGGCCAGGATCCGCAAGGTGATGTATTTCCTCCTCGCTTTCACCGACTGGCCTTGAACCTGCTCAGCTGAAGGGCTCCATCGTTTTTAAAGCCTGACTCCCTTTTGCCCGGCCCTCCTTGCTCCAGCTATGCTTCTGTCTTTGTTTATTTTATTTCTTCCATTCAGTTTTTCGTTGCTTTTACGGGGTTCTTCATTGAAGGATGGCGTCACAAAAAAAAAGCGGAGAACAGCGTGGTGCTTGGGGAGCCCCTCACCCCTGAGAAACATTCCCAAAATGTGCTCCCGCCTGTCTGAGCGATGGGGAAGAGGGAGGATGAGCCATGCTGTATTTGCCTAAGTGAACTCAGCTGGGATTCACCAAGCCTGACTGGCAGGGCTTGGAAATATTTGGCTCCCTAACCTCTCCAACCGTGGCACCTGGATACAAAAAGCCTGATGGAAAAATGAGAACCTGCCACGCTACGAACCTGGAGAGAGCCCTGGCTTCCAGTTTCCACCCCAACCATCCAAAAGAGGGGGCTTGTTGGAGATGGAGCACTTCTTGGAAGGATGCTGAGTGCTGGCAGTGGCTGTGGCTGCTCAATGTCTCCAAAGACCGGTCCTGTGGAGGCTCACCGTGCCGTCAAGCCCAAGAGGGGAGGTGGGATTCAGCTTGTTGCCCACCTTGTGCTGCCTGGGGATTTTTGGAAACGGGAAGGGTTGGAGCAGGAATTTGTGTGCAGAGCCGGGCAAGCGAGCCAGCAGCTCAGAGCAGGCTGTAGGTCTGAGCCAGCGGGGAGTCGCCTGCAGCAAAGCCAATTTGTGCATCGTTGTGGCCTCAAAACACCCAGGAATATATTTATCCTCGAGCATCTATGGAGAGCAGCGAGGCTGCAGAGCGCTTCACAGACCACAAATTAGGAACCTGCTGCTGCTGTCCTCCAAAGGCAGATATCTCCTCCTCCTCTCTCCGAATGCCAAGGCAGGGACTGGTGCCTGGGTGGTGGTGGGAGCAGAGCAGGTAGAGAGTACCTCTGGAAATTTAGGAGCAGGAGATGTGCCTGGCTTGTCCCGTGACTGTGAATGAACTGCTAAGTTTGGACATCCTTTTTTCCTTCCACCAGAAAGCGGAGGATACTTTGGTGGAGCTTCTAGAGATGAAAATGTGCTTTGAAAAAGTGTTATTATGATTGTTCTGGCAGTTTTTGCTAGCATTGCACCCAAATGTGAGTGAGCACTCCTTAAGGTCTGGACGGAAATTTTCCTGGTGTATATAAGGAGAGGGCAGTGATGGGAAAGCCAGGATGAGAAGGCTTCATACCCATGCCCTACTGATTTGTGGGGGCCATCCCAGAAAGAGGCCAAGCTCTTCTTCTGAGCCCCCCAGCCCAATGATAGCATATTAAATGGTAGGCACCAGCTGTGTCAGACAGAGAGGGGAAGGCAAATGGGAAGATTTCAGCAAGCTACTTGCTGGAGAAATGGTGGGAGCTTTGAGTCTCTCCTGCAGACAAAGTTCAGCAATCACTGGATCCCACAACCACACCATGGGCTCTGCTGGAGGAGCTGATATTGCTTTTTAAACCCCCAAAATACTGGACCCAAAGACAAGAGGTAAAAGGGGATCCATCTCTGCTTGCCGATTGCATGGACAAACTGCAAGCCAAACCCAGTTTTTGGGGTCCCAGAAGACCTTCTTACAGGAGACCCCTCCTTGTACATCCCAGAGCAGAGCTCCTGTCTGCAAACCACATCAGACCCAATAACAGGACTCACTGCCAACCTCCAAAAGGGTTTTTGCATGCCAGGTCTCAAAACATGCCATTGCTACGTTGCTGGTTGCTTGGGTAGAGATCCTGCAGCAGGTCCCTTGCTTGGTATTGATGTACCAGAGTAAATAAAAGCCTAGTCAACAGGGTTCCCCACAAGGACTGAGGCTGTGTGTGTTTTCTTCATGCCCTTCTTGGTAGCGGTCCCAGTCCTGCGTGCAGCAAAGCAGAACTCACCAATGTCCAGCTTACTGTTGGTATTTCTGAGCACCTTTTGTCTTGTGAAAAGAACTTTTACCTTTTTCTTTCTTTGAGCATTAATGGAGCATTTTTGTGGTCGGTCTCTGGAAGGGTTTGAAGCTGGGCAGAGGAGGAGAAATGCTCCTCGGGTGGATCTCACCTTTCTGCCTGAGCTGGGGGTGGGAGGTGAGTGGGGCACTCTGATTTCTCTCTCCCATAGGGCAGATGATCCACGTTATAACACTCACTGAAACTCACCCCACACCATTTCAGCAGCCCATAAAGGCTTTCAGGTACTCCACTCCGTCCCATCTCCTAGGGGAATTTCGTCTCAGTTTGTTCAGCACAGCAGGGTACCCTCCCTCCCCTTCCTCAGCTGGCAAATTCCCAGCAGAAGAGCCCCTGCTTGGAGGAGTCAGCATCTACAAATTCCTCTTCTAGTCACAGATGTCTCTCCAGGGTCACAGGTGCCTTTTCTTTTAATTAGCCACTCCTAAGAAAAATAAGAAAAACCCTAAACCGGCATAGGGAAATGTTACAAATTGGAATCTGGTATTTCTGGGTCCCCAATTTACCTGTCTCTGTGCCCTTTCCCTGTAAATTTATCCTACAAAAGTGTCACAGCTCCAGATTTTGGGAGCCCCTAAGCAAAAAGCAGCACAGTTGTGAATGAGATGTCATCTTCAGTGCCTCAACACAACTCAGGTTGAGACCACAACTCAGCAGGACCCCAGGGTGGGTGGTCCAGGCCGTGCTCTCCAGAGTCCTCTGAAAAAGGATGGAGATATCTGGGGTGATATCTGCCCTACCGTGCCAGTCCATGGCCACAGACACCTGTGTTAGTGGGTGGAGGAGATGGAGGGACCCTCAGTTGTCTCTCTGGTCAATGTAAAAACTGCAACCACTGGTGCAAGCACAGCTCCTGATGCCACCAGCAGCAGAGGATGCTCTCCGCACTGTCCCCAGATGAAGGTGGAGGAGGACAGTGGGGGACCAGCATCTCCTGCCACCGCTGATGGCAGTGCCAGCCCTCAGAACCATCCAGCTGGAAGCGGCAGCTACCAGCTTTGGCTCGGTAGCTGCCTTTAATCAATGCTGTAATCATTTCTAAGCCCACATTAATAGCGAGTTGATTAGCACAATGGTCCTCTATGACAATTCATTAGCATGAGCACCAGTCAGGAGGGAATCGATGGGGACTGATGGTCTGACCTTCCCTGGCAGCATCCCAGGGGGAGTCTCGGGCATCTTTTATTAGCACTCCTAGAAAACACCAAACCCTCCAAAAGCGGCTCTTTTTCATGGCTCTGTCTGCTCCGCTTCTATTGATCCAGACCACTCAAGAGTGCCAGTGAGCTCAGGGAGCTGATGGCATCGTTAATATTTCAATTGTCTTTAATTCCGAGAAGCAATAAAAGGCCTGGGCTGGATCATTTCTGGTATTTAAGGAGCTCGGGGGGGTTGTCCAGAGAGAGGGCTCTCTGCAGTGCTAGAGCTTTGTGGCAGCAACCACCAAAAAGCACAAGGCTCCAGCAGCTGGACTAGGGCCAAGGACTGGTGCTGGGGTCACACCATGGCCCAGGTACTTCCTAAAGAGCCTCTTCCCATAGCTGTGTCCCGTCCTGTCCCACCCCAACACTTACAGCTTGTCCCTACAGGATAGGCAGTGATTATTTAGGTATGCTGGAGCAAGCACTCTGGTCATTATTGTCCCCATGGGCACAATGGGGCTTTTCCTCTCTTAGGTCACGACACTTGGGAAGCAGTTAAGTTAGGGGTTGGACCCGACGATCTCTTGAGGTCCCTTCCAACCCCTACAATCCTGTGATTCAAGTCAAGAAGTGAAGGAGTGGACAGTCAGTCACACCTTCATCAGTCATTACTTGTTAATTTTCAACCCCATAAATTGCACAGGGCTCACAGCTCACCCTGGCCATGACGTAGGACCACGTTATCTTCACCCTCACCGAAAACTCTTTGTTGTGTGCCTCTGTCCTGTTTCTAAACAAAATGCATTTCTTCTGAGAAGTAGCAGCTGTGCATGGCTGTATCCATTTCTGGCCCAGCTTTTGGGTCGAGTTTTCATCTGATGGTGTTCACAGACATGTAAGACTGTGGCCATTACCCATCACTTTTGGTTTGTCCCACTGACAGTGCCAATAGCCGTGACACCAAACCTGTACTACCTCAACCCCTCAACTGCTTCAGTGTTTCTGTCACCTCAGTCCATCTTTTCCTCCTTTCATCAAGACATCTCCCTGTGCTTGCTTGGATGACAATGGCAGCTCTTGCCAGGGATGAATGGGGACCCTACAGCGATGGGGATCTCGTTTTCTCCCAATTTTCTTTAGTAGAGCAGACGTACAAAGAGTGATGCTCCCTGTTCATTACCACCCAGTAGATGAGTACAATACTTGCTTTGGAGACAGTCCAATCACACCAGAATCAAGAAAGAGGACCAAAGAAGAATTTTAACAGTACCCTTCTGACACTAAAATTCACAAAAATTCAGTCATAAGAATAGCCATCAATGAGATCATGCCAGTCCATGTTCTAGAGGCATTTGGATAATGTCCCTCAATAGTATGCTTTAACTTTTAGGGTAGCCCTAAAGTGGCCAGGCAGTTGGACTTGATGATCTTTGTAGGTCCCTTCCAACTGATCTGTTCAATTCTATTGTAAAAACTTTCCCAAGAACAGACATCCCAAGTCAGATCAAGGACAAAAAAAGGGTTGCTGTTCCAAAAGCCTGTCTGCAGCAGTAGATGGCAGCAGATTTCCAGGGTAAAATGATAAGAACAAGGTCAAGGAGAGGTATAACAGAAACAGCTGTGAGAGATCCTTAGCTGCAAATCTAGTCTGCCTTGGAAGAGCCAGGCCCAGAATCTCGCCCAGATGGGCTGTAAGCAAGCCCACCTCCCTCATCGTCTTCCTTATCTTTGATACTAGTCTTCATTAGGTATGGGATGGGAACTAAACCTAGCAAAAAATCGGAATAACCTGGGTGCACGTCTCCTCTTTGTCTCTTCCCCATGCTGAACTGAAGGTCATCCCAGACTGGAAGGAGCAGGAGTGGAACCCTGAGAAACCGGAGAGCTACGCAGGGATATTCCACTTCCAATTCTGGCGCTTCGGGCAGTGGCTGGACGTGGTGATAGATGACCGCCTGCCCACGCTCCACAACCAGCTCATCTACTGCCACTCCAACTCCAGGAACTGAGTTCTGGTGCGCCTTGGTGGAGAAAGCTTATGCCAAGTAGGTACCTGGGCAGTTGCAGGGCAAACTGGGACCTGCACACCATGGTTTTCCTCTCAGTTCATTCATCACTTGGCTTATACCAGTGGAAAATGGTTCTAGTGACAAAATGTTGTGGGCTCCACGGGTGTCTGATGCCAACTATGAGTTGTAGGTGGTTATTTCTGAGTTTGGTTCATTATTTAACAAAGTGTCAGACGTGGCAATGTGATTTTTCCTGCTTCTCTATGAAGGTTAATCTTTTCTTCAAGGGGATGCATCCGTTTTTAGATCAGAAGCAGACCAAAGGCTGTTAGGGCATATTTGTGATCATAGTCTCCACATCCAGCCTCATCCCCTCCCCTTCTGTGTATAATGTCTAGTCAAAATCTGGAACTTAACAATTTGAGGTTGCTTTAGCCTCAAATGGAACAGATATCTTGTCAAAAACGCAGCTTTCCTGGAGAAGAGTGGGACATCTCTCAGGTAGACAGAAATTGGAAGAAAAACCCTCCACTAGCCTTGATTTACCCTCAGAGCAAAATATCCTCCAACTCCGCTTTGATTTAATAACACCTATCCCCAGGATTTCAAAAGCACTGCAAACAGCACAGATCCTATTCTTTTTCATCCATTTCTTCTTTATTTTTTTTTTTTTTTGCTGTCTCCACCTACTGAAAGATTTCCTACAAATTTCTGTTCTTCACACTGCCTCTAGAATTGTCCTAGGTCTCTCAAAATGCCAGTGCTGCTGTTCCATTCCTGTCACCCTCTTTCAGGCTGTCAGGCTGTTATGAGGCCCTGGATGGAGGCAACACAGCAGATGCCCTGGTAGACTTTACTGGTGGGGTCTCTGAACCGATTGACCTGACCGAAGGGGACTACATCACCGATGAAGCCAAGCGAAACCTCCTCTTTGAGCGTGTGTTGAAGGTGCACAACCGGGGAGGCCTCATCAGCTGCTCCATCAAAGTAAGCAACATTGCCTGTGGGGTCCTGGTCTCATGGGAATAGGCATTTTAGGATGTTGTTTGTCTTACCCTGTTGGAGACATCTAAATTAGATCAGAAAAATTGTGGCCAAGAGGTCCTACTTTTTCCTGTAGATGACAAAGAGACTCAAAACTGGATCCAACTGTATGTAGTCCTCATTGCTATGTCCAAGAGCCCAGGTTTATCCCATTACCATTTAAATACTTACCATTAAATTACCATTGAAATACTTCAAATTTAAGATTCACTTCCAGGAAAAAAAAAAAAAAGCATTTTGTTGTCTGTGTGCAGACTTCTCCACAAACACTGGGTGCCAGTTGTCCCAATATAACCAGTAAGACGAGCTTTATCGGTTGGCATCAAGGGAGCTCAGAAACCTCACGCTACGGATGAAGACAAGAAATGATCTAGTACCTAACACAACATCTGATACTTCTGCAGAGGCAATTATCTCTCTCCCTGAGCGTTGATGTCTTCTCCTTGTGTCCCCCTGCCCAGGCCACATCGGCGGCTGACATGGAGGCCCGCCTGGCCTGCGGGCTGGTGAAGGGCCACGCGTACGCGGTGACAGACGTGAGGAAGGTCCGCCTGGGCCACGGATTGCTCTCCTTCTTCAAGTCGGAGAAGCTGGACATGATCCGCATGCGGAACCCATGGGGTGAACGGGAGTGGAACGGCCCTTGGAGTGACACGTGAGTGGGACAGGCAGCAGTAGCACCTTTTTTGTTGGTAGAAGCTGGGTTAGAGTAGGCCCTGAGGCATGAGACAATTTGGCTATATCTACACCCATAATATCGTACAAGCAGCTGTGGGATGCTGCTTCAACCAGTGTCCTAAACCTACTATTTCAATGGGGTGGTGGTATTTTTTGCCCTGGGGTCCCTGAAGAGCACAAGAGGAGGGTGGATGAGCTTGGCAGACCTTCTCATTGAGGCTCCGATGGGTGTTGTGATGAAATCATTGGCATTTTCACTCTTGTTAAGGATGGTTTTACCTCACCTTTCCGCTCCCAGTCTTGTTCCAGCCAAACTAACACCCAGTGGTCAGTCTACTGACTGCTGTGTTGTCTGGGGATGGGATGGGTGGGATGGGATGGGATGGGATGGGATGGGATGGGATGGGATGGGATGGGATGGGATGGGATGGATAACTAAGGTTTGGTGTAACCCAAGGCTGTGTTTGGTGTTATCCATTTTGTTATCCTTTTTTTTTTTTTTTTTTTTTTTTTTTTTTTTTTTTTGTTATCCAAAGTCTCACCCAGCTGGATTTAGCTCCACTGGTCAGGAAGGAAGTAAAAGTTTAGGACCATGATTCAGTGGGTGACATTGGTAGTAGGGTGATGTTTGGACCAGATGATCTTAGAGGTCTTCTCCAACCCTAATGATTCTGTGATTCTCCACTTCTCCAAGCCATCCTGCATTCCCCCCACATCTGGGAGACAAGCTAACCAGAGCAGTATGGGGACTGGTTGAATGGCTGGAGCTTTATATATGTTTCGTTCCCCCTAGATCCTTCTGAGGCCAAGTAGCCCTTTGAATTCCTGTGTCCCCTTGCCCTCACAGTAATGATTCTGCTCTCTCCCCACAGCTCTGAGGAGTGGCAGAAAGTGAGCAAAAGTGAAAGAGAGAAGATGGGGATGACAGTGGAAGACGATGGAGAGTTCTGGTGAGTCCCTCCTGGGGTTGCTGCCATAGGTTGTGCTCACAGAGTCCTCCCACTCCGTGAAGCATCTGAGTCACAGAATCTTAAAATCATAGAAGAGGCCACCCCCCAGCTCCCCACCCCTTCCTTTCAGGCAGTTGCAGAGAGCAATAAGCTCTGCCCTGAGCCTCCTCTTCTCCAGCCCAAAGCCCCCCAGGTCCCTCAGCCGCTCCTCACAGGACTTGTGTCCCAGGCCCTTCCCCAGCTTCGGAGCCCTTCTCTGGCCATGCTCCAGGGCCTCGATGTCCTTCTGGGAGTGAGGGGCGCAAAGCTGAACACAATTTCCATTTTCATGCAACCAGTCATCCAGAGCAAAAAGCCTTCCAAGCCACAGGATCTTTAGTGGGACCTCCTGATTACCCCATGGGTATTAGCTTTGAGCAGCTGTGACCATGCTGGTTCCAAACAATTTCAGTAGGGTACTCTAAACTTGTTGAACATAACAGTCTCACCAGATACACATTTCAATACCACATGTATCCATCCATGGAGGAAGAACTGCTCTGCTTCCACCGCTCCAAAACATGTAATTCCTCTGTGTGAACCAAAGAACTGTTTGCTGTGTGCATGGGGAAAGGTATCTCCATCTCTTTGTTGGTGTCAGCCATCCGAGGCTACCCACACACACTCTCTAACAGGTGATCAGGAAACTCCCTGCAGCACACTGCTGAGGGGAACAAAGCAGCATAACCCAGCTCTGCCCTTTCTGACTTAGGATGACCTTCGAAGACTTCTGCAAATACTTCACGGACATCATCAAGTGCCGTCTCATCAACACATCCTACCTCAGCATCCATAAGACCTGGGAGGAGGCAGTGCTCCGTGGGGCGTGGACCAGAAGTGAAGACCCCTTGAAGAACCGCAGCGGAGGCTGTATCAACCACAAGAACACCTTTTTGCAGAACCCCCAAGTGAGTCATGTTCCCTAGGACCTTCTGGAGCCTTCACACATGCTTCCAAGGGTTGAAAGGTCCTACAGGGACCTAAAGGGCCAAAACAGCTGCCAGACCTTTATGATTTAATGTGCTCATGACCTTTCTGGGGCTGAGATTCCTGGGCACAGTATGATCAGCATCCAGGCCAACTCTTTTAACCTTATCCCTCTTAATAGGGAAGCTACATCCAAGGGATTGGCACAAACCACCAGCAAACTGTGCCACAGGGTAGTGGTGGCAGCTGATGCCAGTTAAACAAGGCCAGGAACCTTTTCCAACTGTTTGGATGCCTGAATGATCAAATCCCATTTTCTTTCCTCAAACCTTGGCACTGTTAAATTTTCTCAGACAGATGCAGTCTATATGGCCACTTTCTTCTAACTGGGCTTTCAGAAAAGTCTCTGCTGTGTGGTTAATCTCCTGGAATAAGCTTTTCTGTCCTGCTCTGAACTGGGATTCTTAGTAACATGAGACTTTTTTTTTAAGTCCTTCATCTAACACAAAGATAAAGGATGCTCTTGTCCATTGCAGGAGCTGTCATCAAGGATGTGAGAGAGTTTTTTTCAGCTCCCAGCTCTTTATTAGCCTTTCTTTTAGGTCTCTGTGAACATAATTCCTGCTTCCATGCATCGTATGAGGACTTGTGGCAGACTGCAAGGGATGAAATGCTCTGGTATAAGACTTCATCGTGACACCTTGGATTCTGCTGAACAATTCAAAGATGGGCTTACCCCCACCCATGCCCGGTGCTTCTGTCTTAGTGTCCTTCCTCACCTTCCTCTCTTTGCTTCCAGTATGTGTTTGATGTGAAGAAAGCAGAAGATGAAGTGCTGATCTCCATCCAGCAGAAGCCAAAAAGGACCAGTCGCAAAGAAGGCAAAGGAGAGAACTTGGCCATAGGCTTTGATATCCATAAGGTAGACCATGAATCCTACATGTTAACCCAAATCCTCTCAGTAAATTTGTTAGTAGCTGAGTGCTACCCTAGTGTTGCATGAGCACTGGTATAATTTTTAATTATCACTCTGTGTGCCTCCATGGGTGTCCTCAGCACAGCCTGCCCCCCTCCAGTGATGGTGAGAGATTTTAGAAGAGATTTTAGAAGTGAGTAGTGACAGCACAGAAAGGTTCTCTGTGCTAAAGGCAATGGTTAGTCTGTCACCTCTGAATGCTGAAATTTGCCAGACTGATCCTCTTGGAAGGATCTCGGCTTGATGGGCCTCCAGTGTCAAGCTGGAATGAACAAGAATGAGTTCACGAGCCACCAGAGCTGTGAAAGCCACATCAAAGCCTACTTTCCATCCAGTTATTTGGCACCATTTTGCCGTTTCTCTTAATTCCAGCCATTCCAGCCCTGTGGGATCAGCCCTTGCTGTCTAGCCCTCGGTTGGACACCGGGATGTTTTCCCTGCTGACTGTCCCACTGTGATCTCTGCCCAGGTGGAGCTGAACAGGAACTACCGCATGCACACCCTGCAGCAGAAGGTGGCCAGCTCCATCTACATCAACTCCCGCAGCGTCTTCCTGAGGACGGATCTGAAGGAAGGCCGCTACGTTATCATCCCTACCACGTTTGACCCTGGGCACGAGGGCGAGTTCCTCCTCAGGGTTTTCACAGATGTGCCTTCAGATTGCCGGTAAGGAGCAGCGACGGGGAGGAACTGGCAATTTGGAGAGAGCCTTGTGCTTTTTACGGCAGGAATTGGCCAAAGCCTTGCCCAGAGCTGCTGCTTGGTTTCCTTCCAATGGTGGCCAACAGACAGGGCATCTTTACTGCTCTCTTTACAGAGAAGTTCCCACTCTGCTTCTAAGCATGACTTGGGAGAGCTTCTCAACCCTGGGATGAGAGGGAGGTCAGAGTAGAGAGCAGAGTGGATGGTTCATAGTCCTTCCATCCTGCTAGAGACAACTCCTTGGCTTTGCCATCAGGTGAGGCTGGGCACGTCTCAAAGGCTACACATTTCTCCCCAACAGAGAGCTGACACTGGATGAGCCACCACACACCTGCTGGAGTGGGATGTGCGGCTACCCACAGGTGGTGTCCCAGATCCACGTCCTTGCTGCAGCTGGGCTCAGGAACCAGGATTCCCAAGGAGGTAATGGCCTTTCTCTGCCTGTCGTGTAGTCCCAGAGCAGCTGGGAGGTGGTGGTGTCAGGGGGAGAAGACACAGGTGGCTTCACCAGGTGGGAGGTAGCTGGGATGTATGATATGGCTAAATATCCATATGGGATACATGATCCTCACATCATTTTTCAGTGAAATTGTCTGGTTTGGATGCCAGAGGAAGAGAAAGTCCGTGGAGAATCTCCATGGAGAATCAATCTCACTTCTTACTGTCGACATGATCTGGGAGCTGTTTTATTTAAGCTGTTGGCTAGGATTCTTGGGAGAGCTTCCCAAAAACAAGCCCTTGGCGGTGGTTCTGTAATCTTCCAGGCTTTCCTCCTGAGTACAAGCAGTTGTAAAAGTCAGGAATCATGTTTAAAGACCTGTTAGTAGGAAGAACAGAGAAGGAATGGTACAGGCTGATGTTTTGGGGGAGTCTTCACCTCATTTATCACATGACACAGAGGAAGTCTTCCTATAAAAGTGTTCAGGGAGGGAATTTTACCCAAAGTAGGTTGTTTTTTTCTCAGTTTACTCGCAGTGTGCCTGTGGCAATGCAGGGAAATCTGCAGCCAAACGCTCCTGAGCTGTTCACAGAAACAAGAGTCCTTCAGACATGGGTATAAGCAGATTATGGAGCCATAAAACATTTTTTTCAGCAAGATGCCCCTGGGAATGGCTTTTCCCAGCTGTCCTTCCAGCTGCTCAGCTCCCACCGCCAGCAGCCGGCTGGTTTGGTGATTTCCAGTGCAATGATACCTCTCCCAACTCCCAGCCCAGTCCTTTTTACACTGCTTTGGAAACAGTGATTTACAGACTGGAATTTGGCTCCAGCTATGATGGAATACAAGGATTTTATGAGATGTCCCAAAAGCAAGGTCAGTTTGGGAAAACAGCTGTGAAATCAAGCAGCTGTGTCCTACCAGGGGAGCCGGGACCTTGCAAACAGAAAAAAGGTGAAGAGGTGGTCTGGCAGTCGAAGAGGTGACTCTTAAATCCCTGGCCTTCAGTAGGGGCTGGTTTGTTTCTCCTCATTCCCTTGGACAAGAAAACACGTTCACCTGGTCTATGTTTCCATCATAGCCACTAAAGCCCATGGTGAGAAAATGCATCTGGCAGCTAAATTTCCACAGCAGTAACTCAATCTCTACTGAAATTCCCAGAACCTGCACTGGTTTCAGAAGGGAAAAGTGTTGTCTGATGAGGGACTCTTCCTTTCTCCTAGAAGCTCAGGCTGTGAGCTGGTAGTCTCTGAACTTGGTAACTCCTCTCCCCATCTTTGTAACCTGCTTGTTCCCCACAAGTGCCGTGTTCCAGCTGGGATATTGCCATAACTTTCCTTTCCCACTGACCTGGTACACATCCTTCATGAATCTCTCTCCTGGCTTCCCACCCACCAGTTTAATCTCCTCTGGATCCCACTCATTTTCCCTGTTTTCCCCTCAGTGCCCAATTTTTCTCTTCCCCATGTCTCTTGCTACCACCCACGATCTTTCCTTTTTTTGTCATTTTGATCTTTTCCCTGAATTCTTGCTTACAACCAATATCCAAGAGCTGTCTTCACCATTTTAAAAACCTTTTAAATATATTTCCATCCTGAGGCTCCTCATTCTGTCACTGGTTCCCCATCAGTGCCCAGATCCTTCTTGGATCTCATAGCCTAGCACATCTTGGCACGTAATTTTGGCCCAGCTTTGTGCTGTCTCTCATCACCTTGATCACCCAGCGTTTTTCTTACTCCAGCATTAGTTCTTATCCTGAAAGGCATTTGAGTCTCATTCGATCTGGGAGGAATTTAAGATGTGCCAATGATTTGTGCACAGAGGTGAAAAACATATGCCCTGCTGAGCTAGCTAGTCCTCACCTTAAATTAACACCAAGCCTGGTTCCAGAGTTAATGAGCTGCAGTGGGAGAAAATGTTTTTTTTGCAGACATTTTTGGTTCTTCTTGGTGTCTCCTTCCACAAAACAAGATCTGTGAGCCCAGCTCTCTTCTCCATGGCTTTATTTCCACCTACCTTCAGCAAATCCTTTAAGGGAGACGTATGCATGACAGTGTCTTCCATGAAAGGTTAATCCCAAAGGCAAGGAGCATTCAGAGTGAGGAAGGAGGGCTTCAGTAGAATATGGGATCACGGAAGAGGTGGCCACATCACAGCAGTCTGTCACCATCCCCTTGGGTGACCAACCTAACAGGGGAAACCCCAAGCCCAGCAGCAGAGCTTCATAGACATCATATTTGGAGATATCCAAAGGATATCCATCTCCTCTGGTGGGGTGTGGAAGAAAATTGCTGCATGCAGTCCCTGGGAAAGGTCTCTGAGAAAAGGCAGGAGATACAAAAAAATAATAAAAATAAAAAGGATTAATTCCCTTTTCTCTCACCAGGAGCTGACCCTTACGTGATCATAAAGTGCGAAGGGCAAAAGGTTCGCTCCCCGGTGAAGAAGGACACGGTGTCTCCAGAGTTTGATGTGAAAGGCCTCTTCTACCGCAAGAAGCCAGGACAACCCATCATAGTTCAGGTACCAGCAAACCCCTTCTCCTCCCCGACGTGGGAAGGTTGGTTGTATCCCTCAAGGATCCTCCCTTACCTGTTCTCTTTTCTCCTAGATCTGGAACCACAACTTGATAAGTGACGAGTTCTTGGGCCAGGTGGCACTCACGGGAGACCCCAGCGACCTGCAGGCTGTGCACACGCTGCACCTCCAGGACAAAGGGAACAGGAGATCAAACGATCTGCCTGGAACCATCGCCGTGAGGCTGCTCAGCAGCAACGTGCTCACCAACGTCTGAGCCCTCAAGGACTTTTCTCCGGTGCCACATATGTATATATATACATATACAGACGTGCACACGCACACATATATATACACCCAGCCTCTCTACCACCTGCAAGTGTGTAGGAACGATGCATGCATTCCACTCAAAGGAGCCAAATTTGTGTTCTCAGTGTTCAAAACGGTGCCTTTTGGGGGAACCGCAACGATCCTTCTGCCGGCGTCCTCTGCAGCCCCATCACCGCCGCGCACCCCGGGGCATCTCCGCGTGTCCCGACAGCCAGAGCACGATGCCCTGGTGCTCTTTGTTTACACGGGGCTGGCACGCACGTGCCACCGTGCACACGTGTGGCTGCCGTGGTGCCACCAGCCGCTTCAACGCCTCTTCAGTGTCTCTGCTTGGGTGTAGAGTAGGGCGCGGGGAGTCCTCTCCCCGCGAATTGCCATTTAATCGCTTATCCGAGGAGGAGGCCACGTCAGCAAAGCAGAAGTGGAAAAATAGATTGGGGCTTTTGGGATGTTTTCCGGGTTTCTGAAGGATGCAAAGATGCCAAGGAGTGTGGTGGGACAGTTGTTCTCCAGAGCCAGGGTTTTTGAGCCGGTCTGGTCTCACCTCCTGGGTGTGCCTCTCAAACTGCCGTGGTGCCTGCTGTCTCCATTGCTTCGTGCAGTCCCTGTCTCTAGAGCTTGAATTTGGCTTTTGGCTGAGTGGGGTTGGGTTGCCTGATGGATATCAACATTTAGGTAAGAGGGGAACAGTTCCCCCCAAGACCAGAGCATCAGGTCTGATGGATGAGGAGCCTTGCTCAATGGGCATCAGCTTTACTGCTGCATACAGATCTCCATCGCATCATTTCTCAGTGCTTCACTTTCCCAAATTCTTTTTCAAAGCCGTGGGATTTTATCTTGTGCTAAAGGAAAGGAGCACTGCTCCCAGCACAGCCTGAAAATGCTAGAAATATTTAATGCAAATCAATGCCCATCTCCCTCCTTTAATTTCCATCTGCTAGCCTGGAGGATGAGTAGCACAGGGCTAAAGTCAGTCCCACAAGCACAACCCAAACACATTTTCAGGGGTCTGAGCATGGTCCTGCAGTGTGCAGGATCGTGCTCTGCTCCTGTTTGCCGTGAACCCTGGGTTTATCTTCCCTGTTCCACTGGGTGGCAGAATCCGGCTTCATTTAAACCATCCCAGTTGAAGGAAAACAAGCCCTCATCTGCCCCATCTGATCACGGCACATTGCAAAGCATTTTTTCTTCTGTTGTTTAGGTGTAGGGTTTTTTATGTGCCTTTCAAAATGGTGAGAGTTAAGGGTATTTCTGTGAACTTCACATGATTTTTTTAATACGCAGATCTTCTGCAGTCACATCCGCGCAAGGGGAAGGGAACACACACGATGCAATGCTTCCTGCAAATGGGATTTTTTTTAATAGGTACAAGGCAATCATGATAAATCCTGGCCTGAGCAGAGTCCTCTGGCTGCAAGGATAAGTGAACAAGCTCTCTATTGCTACAGCAAGTAGGATTTCTGTCTATCCTGCAAAATGCCCGTGTTTGTGCTGTAAAGCTGTAATTTTTTAAAGTCCCTAAAGATCTGCTAAGTCTGTAACATGCTAAATTGTTTCCCAAAGTCAAGTTAGGTGCCAGCTCCTAAGGCTGTTCTCCTTTCCTCATCATTAGCTGCCAAGCTCCTAAGGGCACGAACTGGATTTTGGGCAGCATGATTGAGGGTTATTCCGATTTGATCCTGGGTTTGTGCATGGGATTCATCACTGAAAATAAGTGGAAGCAGCGCTGCGGGGCCAGAAAGTCTGCTTTAGGTCTTAGGAGAGGATTTGGGATGCCTGGAAATACCCAGGAGAGGAGGGAGAAGAGCCACTGAGCTGGAGGAGAACATCAAGGGAACATCACAGGAGCTTTGCACCATCAGCAGACAGTGGGGACAGCCGGCGTGCCCGCTTGAGCCTCATTTTCTCAGGAAATCAGGCTGCCCATCGCTTCAGCCTTTTGGCCGGGGTGCCCAAAAAAAAGCTTGCTGGGGGGCAGCGCTGCCCCGACATTCACGGCCAGTCTCCTTCCTTCTACAGAGAATCAAGCCATAAAGAAAGGCAGCTTTTTAATACCTTCTTCAGAAAAAAATCATCATCATCATCATGCCATATCAGGACCAAAACTTTTTAATGTCAGTAATAGTTCTGTTCTTTTTTTCTTTTTTTTCTTTTTTTTTTTTCTTTTTGAAAATATTAAGTTTTTTCTTCCTTCTTTCCCCCTTCATTTCCAAGGGAATGACAAAAATTACCTTTTTTTTTTTTTTTTTCTTATGTTTGCAGAGTGGACTGGGGAGGGCACTTATTGAAATGCCGTTGTGATTGCCGATGCCTTTTCTCTTTGAATGAAGCAAATGGAAATATTCAAGGTTTCTCGATAAGCCTGCTAAGCACTTTCCAGTCCCCCCCGGGATGGCGTAGGACATATCTCTGATTTATCTTCCATTTTTTTATGAATCATTTCATTGATTGCAAGTAGCCTGCCGTTGCACTCCGTGAAATCCGTTTTATTTTTCGTGTTGTGAGCGTCTTAAACCAGGCTATGACTTGTCTTCACCTCCACAGGCACTGACGTGTCACGCTGCACAAGAGCAGAGAGCGGGCCAAACAGAAAGCCAACGTTGTACAGCTGTAAACCTCCTATAAATAAATTGGGTATATTTTATTCAGAATCCCTGCCTCTGAGTCCTTTGGATGGGCTGCAGGGTTTTATTAATGAACTTTTTTCACTGGACCCAGCCCAGGCTCCCCAAGGGTCCTGCAGCATCTCCTCGCCCCTCCTGCACTGCAACCTGCTAGGAATTTCTGTTTCTTAACATTAAACTACCAAAATTCGCATTATAGGGCCTCCTTTGCACCTGTAAGAGCATCTCCTTGGTGGAACAACCCAGCATGGCCACGAGATGGGGCTGGAGCCCTTCTCCCCTCTATTCCTGCAGCTCCCCACCCCAATACCCACAGGCAGACCCTACAAACACCCAGAGCAGGGCTTGAGTGATGCTGGGCACGGCCCCAGGTGGGTGGCCATAAATAAATCATCGGTGCTGGGCTTCCAACCAGCGATATGGCCAGAGCTGGCTCCTGTAAGAGGGCCAGCAGGGAGTTCCTAAGGGCTGGGGAAGGGATGGGGTGGCTGTGATGTGGCTTTTCCCCCGTTCTCAGCAGAGTTCCCGGTGCACCTTTAGGGATGGAGGCTTCCTCACACCACCCCTTACTTCTGCAGCATCACCAAAAATTTGGCTCTCCCTCTCCCCAGGAGGAGATGCTGTTTCAGGCGCTCTCTCTCACACTTTGGGCTGCAAACAGAGATTTCTGGGGATGGGAATCTCTTTGTCACTCCCCCTCCCCGATTAATTTCCAGGCTCACGTAGCCCTTGCTGTGCTTCAGCCCACACAAACCTCTGGAAAAGCAAAGCCAAAGCACGCTCCAGGTGGGCAAAGCTTAGAAACACCTCGTGTTAACACCCTGAGGTGTGTGGTTTGCAACATCCCCTAGCCAAAACGCAAAGCAAGGGACACTGGTGATGTTTTATGGCGCAAATAAAAGCCAGTCCCATCTTTCTGAGCAGGAGGAGGGAAGGATACTACCCCAGAATTGGGCAGGGGCAGAGTTCAGCTTGCAGGCAGAGCCTCGGCACCGTTTCCCAATCTTTATTATTTTCTCTCTCCTGATTTCCACGTTTACAATTTAGGCTTTTGCATTCAAACCAGAGCACCTGCCAGCTCCTGGCCCCATCCTGGGGGACCAGGATGCTGTCCTCTTGCTTTGCACACCCCTGAGCCCTCAGAATGGGGCTGGGAGCTGTTTCCAGCCACACCTTTGCCCTAAAATCCAGCGGGGCTCTGCACATCGAGGTCTCCAAGACGCAAAGCTCGTAGCCCCCCCAGGCTGGGCGCAGCCCCCAGGGGCTCATCGGGGGGCGGGTTTGGGATGCGGGGATGCTTGGGAACATGATCAGGGATTTCTCCCCGAGCTGGAGGGATCTTACACACGTCCACACACACACGTAGGCACTCACACACACACCGGGGGCTGGCTGTAAGCCGGCTCCTCCCCTGCTAAGAAGCTCAGCGGGCAGGGCGGCCGCTGCCCTGGCTCCCTCCCGCAGGCAGAGCAGCTCGGTGCAGGGCACCCGAGCCCCTTCCCCAGCCCTAAAGGCGACCCCCGGCCCTGGCCATGCCCCGTTAAGGTAAGGAGAAGGGCACCCATAGGTGCGCAACCGGGAGAAACCCGGCTGAAGGTTGGGGATGCCGCGGCTGGGATTGCGATGGGGTGGGTGGGGTGCGATGTGGGGGGGGGGGGGTTGCAGAGGGGTCCTCTTGCCGGCCAGCCCACCCCATAACCCAAATCAAACCAGGGGAAAGGGCTGGGAGTAGCTGGGGAACCCCCAGACCTGCCCGGAATGGCCGGCAGCTGGGCTCCTGCAGCACGGATTAGCGCCTCGGTAATTTCCAGCTTAATTGGGTTTGGGTCACCTAGCAGTGAGCGAGGGCATGGGATTGGGGGCTATTTCCCCCCTGTGCTGGGGAACGAAGGACCCTCCCCTTCCATCCTCAGCCCCTTCAATTGCTCGGGAAGCTGCCCGACACAGATCCAGGTTGTGTTTTTTGTCCCCTGGGTCACACCGCTGCTGCTAAGCACCTTCGCAGGGTGTTTAAATTATTTAGGGCCATCCCTGGGCAAGGACTGAGAGCCAGCACGGGACAGGGATTCCCACAAAGCAGCTTGCATTTCGCTGCCTGGTTTGGGACACGCAGGGGCTGGGCTGCAGCGGCTGAGTTTGGTACCAAAAAACACGCAGGTGGAGTTTAAGGGGCGACAGGTCCGTGGGTTTAAGGTTTCCTGGTGGTCTCTGTAATAGTAAAAGGGTCCTGCAGGAGCTGAGGGTGGTATTTCCACAGCCCCAAGGTTGTGTGCGCCTCTTTTCATAGTCCAGGGGAAAGGATGTGCAAGGACCAGCCTTGTGGGGTTAATCTGTGCCTTGCTTCAAGATATCAGGAGCTCTGTAGGATGCTGTGGATCTTATCTCTGTAAGAAGAGGGACCACAGGGTCCCAGGGGTGGTGGGGTGAAGGTATGGGAGGGAGTTTTTGGCAAAGCTTCAGCCCCAATCTGCTTGCCCTTGAGACCCTCTGCACCTAAACCCTGTCCTGCACCTCAGCTCTGTCCCGCAGGGACAACCCAGGGCAGACCCAGGACAGCTCTTCCCTCCCCTTGACTGATGCTCAAGTGGATTTCACCTGTTGCTTCACACTTTCTGAGCCTGCTGGTTGCCAAAAATACGTGTCCAAACGGTGCTTAACATGCCTGACTCTTACTGAGGGCTTTGTGCTTCTGCACAATGGACATTTAGGGCCAGAGGCTGCTCTGGGGCTTTGTGGGGTGCAGCTGGAGTATCCCCATCAAGCTACAGCATCCCCTCACTGACACCAAAATTTAGGAGATCTGAAAGAGGCCGAGGGATGAACCCCTTTGCCACGGCACCATTATTTCTGTCCCATTTCTCCCCCACCCCGTGCAGCCAATCCTTCTTGCCCCCCTAATAAGTTTCCGTGGAGCAGGGGCTGTTGCACAGTGTTCCTCTCTTGTGCTGGCTAACTTGTGACTTCGCAATCCTTGGGTTGCCATGGAAAGGATTACGCTGTGATTAATGAAGGCATTGTCAGCTCCCGTAGGTTGTTTTCAAAGCCTTTCCTGGAGCTGCAGAGTGGCAGAAAGGGGCAGAGGGAGAGGAAGCTGCAGCTCCAGGCACGTTTTTGGTTTTCTCCACCAAAAATCGCGCCGCCAGGTAGCAGCTGCTGCCTCGGCTCCCTGCCAGATCATCCCTGCTGGTCCTTTCTGAGGGTGGAAGGAGAAACGGTGACTTTCGCTCTTCACCTTAAAAAAATACAACAAATTAAAACCTGCCAGGGGTTCCTTGTTCCCAAAGCTCAGTGAGACGAGTGTCACCGTACCAAGGGGCTGGCAGGATGTGCAGGCGGCGGGGAGGAGAGCTTTGTGCTGGGAAATGCTCTGCTCAGCAAGGGAGAGGAGAGCCTGCTATGGGACAGGATGGTTTCTTTGGGACAGTCAGGTCCCCACGCCAGGAAACTTCTCGTTCCCAGCTGCCATCCATCCCCTACCCCACGTTTAACCTGCTGTACCAACCTAGTGCTTGGCCAGGGCACAGAAGACCTGAAATCCATGTGCATGGAGTAAAAAATTATGCTTTAAGTTGATTGCAGACTTTATAGGTTGCCTTGGGTGGAGGTTCCCACTGCTGTTGCTGCTGCCCAAGCAGCCTGGCCTCCAAATTTTAGCTGTGTGGAAGAAGAAAGGCTTGCAGGAGGATGTGCCTGAGTTGTTCTGAGTGTCAGCAGAGCTGAGACCAATGAGTCCTGGTCTTGCCATAAGCACAAACCTTGTCCTCTCCCCACCTGATGGGACACCAGGTTGTGTGATGGGAGCTGTGCCCCAGGAAGCAAAGCCATTCCTGGCTGCAAAAAGGGCAGGATGAAGCTAGGATGCTTGGAGAGAGGATGGGCACAAGGCAAAGAGTGGGAAAAGGGGATAAATAGAAAGCAGTGGGTATCTACAGCGCCTGGATTAAGGTAACCATCAATGACAAGAAGAAAATGTGAAGACTTTTAGAAATATTATGCTTTAGTCTTGTCGGACTTGCAGGTTACAGCTGTGAAATAACTTCCATCTCAGAGGGCTTTGCATATGCTGAGTGGGACTCACCTGCCCAAGGTACTGGGGCACGGGGAAAATCTGCTCTGAGCTCTGCCTGGGCTAGATTTGGGACCAAGCCCCACCTCGTGGGACCAAGCTGTTGTATGTGATCCAGAGAGCACGTTTCACTCCTCTGTTGACGTATCTCACTTCTAGTAGTAATAATAACAATAATAATAATAAAAGCAGATCAGATGGTAGAGGAGAGGAATGGAAAGTGAGCTGGCCTTGCGCACCTGTGAGCCCACTGCACTACGGAGTGCTGTTCTCGTCCCTCCATTCCCAAAATGATGTAGGTGGGTTAGAGAGGGTTTAGAGAAAGGAAGGATTTCCCCTAGTTTTCTTAGCCGTCTTATGTAATACAAAAAGAAGGGAGCATCAGAAAAAAACTAACAGGGACCAGGCTGAAAGCAAAAAAAAAGAGTTTACCCAATCTGGCATCTGTGGCAGTCCTTAACACAAGATGTTGTGGATCCTAAAAGCATTCATGGGTTAAAAAGCAGCTGGACAAATTCATCAGTGAAAAGGCCTTCAAAAGCTATGAAATATATATTAAAAACAAAAGGCACCCGTCTCTGGCTCCAGAAGTTCTTGAGCTGCATTATTAGGGTTTGGTGGGGTATTAGGGAGAAGTACCAATGAGTCAACACCTTGTTTTTATTATTTTATTTTATTTTATTTTATTTTATTTTATATTTTATTTTATTTTATTTTATTTTATTTTATTTTATTTTATTTTATTTTATTTTATTTTATTTTATTTTATTTTATTTTATTTTATTCTATTCTATTCTATTCTATTCTATTTCATTTCATTTCATTTCATTTCATTTCATTTCATTTATTTTTTGCCCTGGGCATCCTCTGTTGGCCACACTCAGAGAAACACAACAGATTCAACCCACAGACTGTATCCAGTAGGGGCATTTTACATAGGCGAGCGCTTCCTGAGCTCATG